CGTTTTCTGGAGTTTCACACCAAATTGACGAGCTCCCATTTTTCTTTAGAATAACATTTCTCCCTCTCCTTCTCTCTTCTTGGAATTTATTCTTTTTTGGTTTGTGAATGTAGTAGGATATTAAGAAGAATGCGCACATGGACTTGGGTTTATGTGCTGCAGTGCATCATTTAATGTGTAAATGAACGCTCATCCCTGTCAAGATGTAGCAAATCAATGTTTTAGGAGTCATCCTAAGCTTTTGGTGTGGGTGTAATTTCCTGGATTCTGAACTACCTCAGATATGTTCTCAGGGTGGTGGGCCACCGATCCACATAAGATATTTCTCTTTCTCTCAGAAGCTTGTTTAAGTGTTATATATGAAACACATTCACACACACACACACACACACACACACACGTGTGACATCTGTTCTATCTCAATGCTGCAGTGACAGAAGAAGCACCACTTACCAACTATTTCCCTGAAAAGGTTCTGTCACAAGCATAAGAGCTCCATTCAAAGCGAAGCAGTGTGGTGTAGTGGTTAGTGCTGGACAAGGGAAGAGTCATGCTGAAATCCTTGCATAGCCATGAAGCTCACTGGCTGTTCTACTCGCAGCCTAACTTACTTCACAGGGTTGGCGAGGAGAACTATGTACATCAGCCTGAACTCTTGGAAGGAAAGTGCAGCTGTTGTTGTTGTTGATGATCCCAATAGTAATAATAATGCATAAAAATAATATGGCAAGAGAAGCTGACATTCTTTCCCTTCTCCATTTTTTTCTCAATAATGAAAATCAGCTTTAAACTCACATATTAAATCACTATCGTCGTTATGATCATTACTGTGCAAAGATTGACTGCGAGCTGCCATTCATTGTGAGAGCTGTTTCCCATGAGTCACAGATAATTCCCCTTGCAGGGGCTGCAAACTCATTCTATGTGATTAGAAGAGATTAAAACAAAAACAGACGGCTTAATCAACATGAGTCCTACATTTAGACCAGGAAAGCACTTTGGGATCAGCAGAGGGATCCCGTGCCACCCTGCTGCTCTGCAGTTCATTTACAGAGAGTGGCGTGTCTTTGCCACTAGCCGACTATTGTGTGTCATGACTCTTGCCAGTAGCCACCGTTTTTGCTCTTGATCGTAATGTCAAGTGACACCGATTGTGAATTATTCTGACATACACTCCTATAAGCCCTTTTTCTTTCAGGCAGATGTTATGTTCAGATTTAGAGGAGTGCCCTCCCCCCCAAATGTGCTTGCTTTTGTTTGTGCTTACTATTTAAGGAGTGTTCTTCCAAATCTGCGACAGTTCTATATTTGCAAAACGTACTTTGCTCGATTCAAATAAAGGAAAGCTGCAACAGTGGGTCTGTTTATACAAGGGTTGTTGACTACTGTCTGCAGTGTAGACTCTGCCCAGGCAAGGAATTTCAGGATATATAAATGCAGAGCTACACATTACAGGTCTTGGGAGAAAAGCAATGACAAACCTAGACAGCATCCTAATAAGCAGAGACATCACCTTGCCAACAAAGGTCCATACAGTTAAAGCTATGGTTTTCCTAGTAGTGATGTATGGAAGTGAGAGCTGGACCATAAAGAAGGCTGACTGCCAAAGAATTGATGCCCAAAGCCACATCATTGCACTGATTCCCCTCTCCTCTCCCATCAGTAAATAGGAATGCTTACCCTGTGTTGTGGTGAATGTCACAGTGGTGATGTTTCCTAGACCCTACCAACAGCAGCCAATGATTTGATGCAAAGGAACAACATGATGACATCACAACACAGTTAAGTGTTCCTTAATATATTTAAAGGAGAGGGAGAGAAATTGATGTGGGTATTATTTTGGGGCAGAATTCCTTTGTCATCCACAATATATTGTTAGTTTCACTCTACTTCTTTGAGCAGTGAAATGTTCCAGTTATGCAGAGGTCACTTAGGCCTAGTGCCATTGGGAAGTCATTGAAAGGTTGATTGTAATTTTGCAGTATTTGAGTTTATGTACAAAGACATGGATTGATCATAAATGGAGACACAGCTTAAGCACTCCAACAGAGATTTGAAATCCATGGCTGTCACAGCTTTCTCCAGGGAGATCCTAAGATGCATTCAAAACCTCTGAAATCGATTCCCTATATTTTCTCCACTCTCTGCCTAAACTACAGACTATTTTCCTTTGTACACCTCATCTTCTCCCTCTAGCTGGAGGGGTGGAATAAGCATGTTCCATCTCCTCTGACCATTACTTAGTCTTCATAGGCCATCTTAGTTCCTATGGAGACACATCACCTGAATATTACAGGCTATTAACAGGGTTTTCTCAACAGGCTGGCCAGGTATTGTGTCAGGGAAATTCTTGTTGATATATCTATTCTCAGGAACCTGATAGGTAAACCCTTAACAGTGTAATTCATCCGCTGGCCCCACAGCCTTGCCAAGTAGGCAGAAACTGCAGATTCTCTTTCAGCTCATTTCAGCTTCTGATTCATGACCTGAGCATGTAAGCAAATCACAGGCACACACACAAACCCCATTGCTCCATCACTGAGGAGCTGTCCACACCGAGCTCCTGAAGTGAATCAGGACACTGAGGTTCATCCAGATCAGCATTCTTACATTACCATCCGGGAGCTAAGTTTAGCATAATAGCCATGCATTCATTCTTTTTCTTCTGAAGTTATAGGCTCGGTTTGTTTGTTTTTAAATAAAAAACAACAACATTTCCCCTTGACGAGTGCTGAATTTTCACCTTTCTATGCCTAAATCCCTGCACACCCTGATAAAACTGATGTTCTGCACCTAACAAAGAAAGAGATGGGATATTCCATTAAAGTGGAATTTTAATGGTTCTCTGGGCTAACAAAGAGAGCAGGATAAGGTTCCGTTACAAGAAATTAGAATTGTGTTCATGACGAATGAGAACTCAGGTGAAAAATTCAATGCTTAAAACACACACACAAACATACACACACTTTGGTGAGGAATTTGCTGTAGCTGGACACTGGCTGGAAAGAGAGAGAGAATGAGATACCCGCCTGGACCAATCTCAGAATCAGCTTTACCTCCTTAATAAAGTGCAAGTTTACATGTGACAAATGTTTTCACATAAAACAAAGCACTTCGTAGTGACAGATCACAGTCTATTGTGGTGGGCGGATGGGTGGGTGAACTGCACAATATCCTTGTTGTTTACATTAGTGGGTTTTTATTTTTATTTAATAAATTCAAATCCCATCTTCTTAAAAAGAAGGTTTTTTTGCAACAAGGTGGCACATAACATTTATAAATTAAATGTATACTGTATAGCTATTATATAAAATCCTCTAGTTAATAAAATATTGATAAATGTAATATATAAAATATCTATCAATGTGACTAGCACAGATGATATGTGGGTGAGCTGGCATGCAACAGTTTACTTACCCACACATTTTTTTTTTATGGAACTAGTTGCGAGGCTGACCTATAGCTGTACATTTTGATCAGGACCATAAAGAGAAAACTCAGGAGAAAGCCAAACACAGTTTATCAACAAATAAACTGGCAGCCAGTGGAGACTAAAACACGTTGGCAGAGGAAGAAATGCGTCAATTGGTTTTATTTTAAGTATCTTCCCTTTTTGAAGTTGAGCTTTCTGCTGCTCAGGTTATGAGTCCACGTTTATTTATTTACTTATTCCAATTCACAGCAAAGCATCCAACGTCATATCCCCATGCCACAGTTTTGTTCCCTTTGTCCCCAAATGTGGTCAGCATGGATTCAGAATCCCACCCTTGCCTCTTAAGTGAGAAGCTTCGCCCAACAGTCACGCTGTCTATTCAAGGGGCATGATGCTGAAGGCATTTGGTCCCTTTCAGAAGTTACAAGGAACCAGGACAGATTATTAATCTGCTTCCAAGAATGTATAACCCACTCTTCTATACATGGATATTGAAAGTGGTTAAATTGTGGGGTGGGGGTGGGGGGTGGAGAAACAGCAGCACTACAACCACAGTATGAAAACCTCTGCATCAATACTGAGCTGGACAAGTGTATTGGTAAGGCAGCTACAGCAATGACTCTCCTCTCCAAAACGGTATGGAAGAATGTGGTCCTAACAACCAATACCAAGATGGAGGTATATCAGGCTTGCATGTTGAGCACGCTGCTTTATGGTAGTGAGACGTAGGCAACGTATACCTGTCAGGAGCGACAACTCAATGCTTTCCACATGTGCTGCCTCAGGAAGGTTTTGGACATTGCATGGCAGGATAGAGTCTTAAAAAAAGATGTGCTCTCCCAGGTCTACATTCCTAGCATGTTCACACTCCTGTCTCAGCGATGTTGATGCTGGCTTGGTCATGTACAAAGAATGGAAGATGGCAGGATCCCCAAGGACGTGCTCTATGGGAAGCCAGCTTCAGGCACCAGCCTGTTGGCAGACCAACTCTGTGTTACAAAGATGTCTGCAAACAGGACATGAAGGCTGTCAACATTAACTCCATTGTGTGGGAATCCCTTGCAGATGACTACAGTGCCTGGAGACACTCAGGTTGTATATCCACTGCAGTGACCAGAGGAGAAATGAAACACAGAGAGAAGAAACGCCATGGTGTATCTGTAACAGTGAAACCGGGCGCCTTCATCTGCCCCACCTACAAAAAACCCCATGCATTTCCCATATCAGTCTCTGAAGCCACAGCAGGTGCTATAACTCCAGTTCTTCCATTATCTCTCGAGACAGACAGATGCCAACCATGAAACTGTTGGGATACTGCCAGGGAGATGGGGGCATCAGGCAGGCCCCCAGCTTGCTCCAGACAATCATCCTAACAGAAATATGACAGAAACCACAGCAAGAATAAAAACATACAAGAACACCAATGGCATAGTTCCAAACACATGTCGAAACAGCATTTTCACATTAGGAGACATAAACCCCAAATGTTCAGAATAGCCATTGTTTAAGGCAAGGATGGCCTCCAGATGTTGGACCACAACTCCGAGCACCCTTGCCCATTGGCTGTGCTGGCTGGAACTGATGGGGGCTGGAGTCCAACAACATGGTACCACATTGACTACCCCTGGTTTAAGATCAAGCAGACCTCGTCCAAGAAGGCACTTCACAATGCTGACATTACAACTGAAGAGGCTCTGTCTCGTGCACACATTTGCTGAACTTGCTGCTGGTGGTACTGGGACATGGAAAAGGGCACCTGCTGTTGATCTTAATGTGGTAGAAGCTGGGGCTCAAGATATCTTGGCCTCAGGCTATTTACTTCTGCAATGGTCAAAAGCAGTTCTTCAAACTGGGTTGAAAAACCAACTGGCAATCATTACCTGCAGGTTCCAAATCACTATCTGGAAGCCACATTTTGCATCAGGGACAGTTCCTGAACTGTCTTCGAATACTACAGCATGATGTCAATGTTCTGTAAAGGTAAAAGGTAAAGGTAAAGGGACCCCTGACCATTAGGTCCAGTCGTGAGTCACTCCGGGGTTGTGGCGCTCATCTTGCTTTATTGGCCAAGGGAGCCGGCGTACAGCTTCTGGGTCATGTGGCCGGCATGACTAAGCCGCTTCTGGCGAACCAGAGCAGTGCATGGAAACACCGTTTACCTTCCCGCCAGAGTGATACCTATTTATCTACTTGCACTTTGACCTGCTTTCGAACTCCTAGGTTGGCAGGAGCAGGGACTGAGCAACGGGAGCTCACCCCATCGTGGTGATTCGAACCACCGACCTTCTGATCGGCAAGCCCTAGGCTCTGTGGTTTAACCCACAGCCCCACCCATGTCCCTTCAGTGTTCTGTACTGTAGCCTAAATCCACGGCTACTTTAGTACAGTGTTTGCTTTTGTGTCATGCTAAAACTCAGATTGAACAGGATGGTGCAGATCAAACGGCTGTTGCAATGAATATTCCAGGTGTGGGTCGGAAATGAGAACTAACCATCCATTGTTTTGCACGGAGCAAAGACATGACCTTAACTTTAGTGACTGAATCACATTTTTTTACCACTGTGCCAAAAGGAAGGAAATGATTTAATGAAGTACATTTGACTCAGGCCCAACTGTGCATATGTAAACAAACAAAGAAACAAACAAAAACCCACCCTAATTTCAATTCCTGCATTTTAAATACATTGTATTATCTTCCTGGCTTCAAAAGCTTATATCATATAATGCAAGGAGCATATTTTAAAGCAAACTTTTGTAAAAGAACGCAGCAGTTATCTTAATGATAAAAGCGCATACCAGACACATTGCTTCATTTTTATTAATGGAGGGTGCTGGCAAGGCAAAAACAAAGGCAGATCTGTTTGGGGGGAAAGAGACAGCACCCTGGGAGGGCTCCTGCCTGTGAAGGGTGGGATCAAGCTGCTTTAATCAGCAACCCATCTCACTTGGCACGTCAACAGAAATGTCAGTTGGCTATGTCAAAAATCGTTAGGAAAAAATATCTCAGGCCAAACTATTTTTGGAAGTTTCGTGGAAAAGGAGGACTGTCCACTTTCCCACTGAAAGGAACGTATTGACTCAGAAGATAAATAGGTCTCGTTTTTTTTATTAAAAGGCTCTATCTAGGGATATATGAGTGGTCTGACCAGCAAGTCAGAATCTTGCCAAAAGGAAGATGGATTTTGTGCTTGGAATACATTCTGTGATGTCAACAAATACTCATGCTCACTTAATTCATCTGAACTTGATACATTTGCGGGCGGTTGGCAGGAAGGAGATTGAGGTGTAGCCAAGGCTGAAAACTCTAAGCATTCTTACAAGGAAGCAAGTTCCATTGAACTCAGTTTACTTCTGAGCAAACACACGTAAGATAGGGGCACACATTTTGATTCTGGAAGGGTTGGGGCAGTGGTGGGCATGGATGAAGAGCACAAAAGTAATGAAGGAACAGAGGAAGCTGCCTTATACTGCCCATTTAGCTTAGTATTGTTTACACTATAAAAGTGGCTCGCCAGGATTTCAGAGACCAACCTAGAGCTGCTGGGAATTGAATCTGCATGCAGAGCAAATGCTCTCCCACTGAGCTATGGGATGTGAGCAAAGCTAAACAAGTGAAAGTCAGCATAGTGTAGCAGTTCAAGTATTATACTAGAACTGGAGAGACCCAGGTTCAAATCCCCTCTGTGATATGAAGCTCACTAAAGCTATGCCACGACAGGACCAGCATCAGGATTTGGCTTTGATGGGCACCTGCCAAGGCTCACACATCAGCAGGAGGCCCACTGCCAGCCCTTTGCTCTGATGCCTTGGCATGTTCACCTGCTCTCTCCAAATATGTGAAGCTTGTCAAAGCATGGGAGAGGAGCAGCAGGCTCCAGGTGCCTTGACCTCTCCTCTGGACCAACAGAGTAGATGGGGCCTGGAAGGAGATGGGGTTTGTTTGTTTGTTTGTTTGAATGAATGAATTGTGTTGACAGTGGTAAGAAGGAGGGGACTCTACTGCCTCACCTGAACTCTTATCTCAAATGCCTGCCTCCTTCCCTCCTTCCGCTCTCCATCTGTAGTGAGAAGCCTACCAGATGGTGGGGCTAAATACAAAAAGTGGTCTAGATAAGAGTGAGGGCGGTTTGCTATTGTTACTAGACCTGCAAGTAAACCTGAGTTGAGGGTGGGGAGTGGATACTGCCTGCTGATGTCACAAAGACACTTATGGCTCCCTGAAGCAGGCAATTATGGTGTCATTTCTCTGCAGTTCTTGGGGGAAGGAAGACTTGGGAAGCCTGCTGCCAAGTGAAACGCTGCCAGTTCCCCATTCACAGTCCTTGCTTCTCCCTCAGAATCTGGCTGCACACTGCTCCTCTTCAGGCTGCTCTGACAAACTGGGTCAGGAGGGGAGGGGAAAGTGGACTGGGAGATTCATTCAGCAAACTCATGAAACTGAAGACTAGCCCAGAACATAATAGTTAATAATCATGGGATTGAAGACATTCAACTCAAAGTGGCTACAGGTGCCTCCTACTGTAACAGAAGTTCTAAGTGACCCATCAACAGCACACAGCAGGGGCATCACATTCCATTTTGTCCCTTATGGCAAAATGGAAAATGCCATCCTGCCCTGACACCTCTGTGTTACCTGCCGCCCTTCCTCTGTTACAGATGGAGAAGCCGCAGCAGTAGTGCCAATCTCACAAGATCTTGCTCAAATCTCATGAGATCTTCCATGCTCCACAATATCTCACAAGATTTTGCTGGAGCACCAATTCTCTGCCAGTGGTGGAGGCACCTGCTGGGGTGGGTGGCTGCTTCATGCCACCTCATGGCTGAGCCAGGCCTGCCACACAGAGAGAATAAGACCTCTCAGCACTCTTTAAAAAACCTACAGCTCCCATAATTCTTTGGGGGAAGCCATGACAGTTTACAATGGTATCATAGTGCTTTAAATGAATGGGGCATTTGTCTTGTACAAACAGAAAAGGATCCTTCAGTCCATGGTGGAGGAATCCTGCTAATGGAAGGGAATGATTTATTTCCAATTCCCCACCACCACCACCCCAAACACCACTGCCACCACCTACGCTGTTCTAGAGGATTCCCCAACCATCCGGAACAGCATGGAAGCTGATGCTGGGGGCTGAGGAGAAAGGGAAAATCAGAAAAAGTTGTCTCCTCCCTTCCACTGTTGATACTGAAGCCTGGATCCAACCCAATGGGCTCCATTAATGCCGCACATGAAAAAAAACCCCAATAATTGAGTTTGAAATCCTTTGCTAGAAGATAAATTAGCATGATTAAACTGGGAGACCTGAGAGCTATGATTCAGATTCTTTATTCAGGTAATTATTTAAATTGAAGAAATGCAATGAAGGAAGAGAGTGCTTTTTAATACATTGTAGAATAATCATGCCAAGAAAAATATGTGGATTCTTATGAGCCTTGATGTGCCTGTAATTTAATATAACATGAGTCTTCCTTTAAAAAAAAACCCCAGCTATTGGCATCTGTATAGTTCTAGGAAAATATTGCTAAAATAGAGGATGAGAAATTTCTGACCTCTGATTATAGTATCATAAAAAAAGTTTGGGACAGTGCTAAACTTTTCATCAAAGCAAACATTCCACAATGTTAGCTGTATCAAATAATTCATACAAGAGCATTGTATTTAGACACCATCTTTCTCTGAACAGCTTCTTTTAATCAGGCTAGAGCTGAAAATTTATCCGGTTTTTGGGCATTTGTAATTATTCTGCATTACTCTAATTAAGCTGTCACTATAACCTCTAATCTTCCCATCTCTCCTTTGTATCCTCTACTGCCTATACCTGATGGGTAGGTATGTCTGCAGGTTTCACTGTGGCAGCATAGATCTTTGTGTGGTACTTCCATCATTTATATTACAGTGGTACCTCGGGTTAAGTACTTAATTCATTCCGGAGGTCCGTTCTTAACCTGAAACTGTTCTTAATCTGAAACACCATTTTAGCTAATGGGGCCTCCTGCTGCCACCGCGCTGCTAGAACATGATTTCTGTTCTCATCCTGAAGCAAAGTTCTTAACCTGAAGCCCTATTTCTGGGTTAGCGGAGTCTGTAACCTGAAGCGTATGTAACCCGAGGTACCACTGTATTAACATAGATTTTTTTAAAATAAGAAAACCCCATTGCTTTTCTTTAGGTAGACGCAGCCATTTATTTCTAGGAAAAAAGGTGTTGGGATACACCAAGCCCCCCACTCCTGCCACCATGCTGTTGCTGTTTGCCTGATCACAGCTCCCTCCCGCTGCTTACCTGACTACCTGCTCACTCTCTCCCCCTCACACCTTTGCCTGCCACTGCTGCCACTTTCAGAGGATCTTACAGAAATGTGGAACTTCCTCCCTTCACTCTGATTTGTTCCATTTCTCATATCCCACACCTCTCCAGCTGCATGGTTGGAACTAAGTACATGGGTAACCTAGAGTAAAGATAAATTAGCATGATTGAGCCCCAAACTCTGAATGATGAAGGGGTCCCAGCTTATACCTTGGGTTTGATATGCTTGGAATAAAGTTCACGGAAGACTTTTGTTATTCTCTTTCATATAAGGTCTATTTTATACCATGTTGCGGGGAACCTCTGGCCTTCCATGTTTTGCTGAACTTCAGCTCCCATCAGCCTCAGCAAACATGGCCAGAGGTGAGAGGTGCTGGGAGTTGTAGTTCAGCAACATCTGGAGTCGGGGGTCATGAAGCGTCGGACACAACTAAATGACTAAACAACAACAACATCTGGAGGGGCAAAGGTTCCCCACATCTGATTTGCACACACATATAAACATAAGACAGAAGGACCCATGGCATTAAGAATCCCACAGATCCTGCTTCCTCATCAGGTTTCTAGCATAATTAGAAGCATTACAAATGCCCTAGCACTGGAGTCTTCCATAGTGCTAGCCAGACCTCTGTATCTCTGGCTTATTTACAAGAAGACCTACAGAGATCAACATGGGCCAAAAGCAAAAGTGGTAAAAGCGCAATGCTTTTCTTATCTTTCAGAAAGGAGCCTGGTCTATTCCTAGGTATTATGCTAGGCCAGACATCCATTGTCCCCAAGTGTAGGTTAGCACTAGCTACTACTGTGCATAAGTAAAAAAAGAAAAAAGAAAAAAGGTGAAGGTGAAGGAGCAGGTGGCGCTGTGGTCTAAACCACTGAGCCTCTTGTGCTTGCTGATCAGAAGGTCAGCGGTTCAAATCCTTCGATGGGGTGAGTTCCCGTTGCTCTGTCCCAGCTTCTGCCAACCTAGCAGTTTGAAAGCATACCAGTGCAAGTAGATAAATAGGTACTGCTGTGGCAGGGAGGTAAATGCCGTTTCCATGCTCTCTGGCTTACGTCCCGGTGTTCTGTTGTGCCAGAAGCAGTTTAGTCATGCTGGCCACATGACCCAGAAAACTGTCTGTGGACAAACGCCGGCTCCCTTGGCCTGAAAGAAAGATGAGTGCCGCAACCCCATAGTCTCCTTTGACTGGACTTAACCGTCCAGGGGTCCTTTACCTGTGTATAAGTAAACTGACTGGCACATGCCAATGTCAATGCACATATCTGTGGAGTTCCATGCATGCACATGAAATCCAGCTATGGTTCCCATCCCTTTGGTAGTGTGTGACTGCAGATGTCAGGTTTAGAGCGTCTCCCACACAAGACACGGAACGCTGGCAGTTTAAGTAGCTGAGGTTTAGTTCTCAATAACAGGCTTACAGCAGTCCAAGCTTCCACAACTCATCCTTCTCCATCGGAGTCAGTTGACTCGACTGGCTTCTGACTCCTCCCAAGGCCAGATATACGCCACGTCCTCCCCCGCCTCCTGCTGGCCCACCTCTGCTCTAATCGCTTGCTCCGCCTCCTACTTCTTGGTGACTCAGGTGCAGCCAATTCCTCCTCCTCTGGAGAGTCCTCTCTGCTGAGTCTGTTCCTGACAGCAGATGTACACCTCCTTCTCTTGATATGAATACAAATGCATATCTTAATGTATCAGCTGGGGCTAACATGACAGCTCTTCCACCTCCATGCATTTCTAGACACATGTTGCACACACCACTATCTCTGAAGCGGCTGACTTTTTAGCAAGGCTATTTCATTGTAATGATACAATTAGAAAAACCCTCCAAAATAATGTGATGAGGAAGGCCTATCTATGCCATTTCAAAAATAAAATTTCTTTTATCACCGTACCTGATTAGAACATTGAAGTACTGCTTCAGGCTAACTGTAGCACAATTCCCATTTACTTTCATTTGAATTTTTAAAATACGGTTATTCTAGAATAGATCTAATTTTCCTCTTCCCTCCTCTGCCAAATAATACATTAAAAATGATTTGCTGATTATGACCTGATTTTTTTAAAAAAAGAAAGAAAGAAAAGAGGAAAGCTTTGATAGCTGCACATTTGAGAAAAATATAGACTGACTTTTCTCAGACAGGCCTTTGGCTTGATGTGAATGCAAATAACTCTCCCCCATCTTTAGCCTGACTTGATGGTTTGACAATGAGCTCGGAAAGAATTAAATGCATTTTCTTGCTTATTAAAATGCCTCATTGTTTGGTCGGTGGAAGGTTATTATTTCTTTGAAATTATTTAAGGAGCTTCTTCTTCTTCTTCTTCTTCTTCTTCTTCTTCTTCTTCAATAAAACAGAATTCATTTTCAGTATTGACATATTTAAATGTTCAACCCAAAAGGAACAATTAAAATACAAATCATGCCTGCGTAGGTCTAGACAAGAAGTCGCTTCCAGACTGTCATTATTTTGGGTGGTGGGATTCAAGCACATAGCAGCAAATTCAGGTTGTGCAATTAAAGTGGATTTTCCCCTCTTGTGCAGCACTTTCTCCCTCAAATTTACTTTTTCTGGCAAGGACAAATGATGGAGAAACGCATTGGAAGGTTAGGAAACGATGTTTGATTCAACATTGTATAACCTCCCTGTAAACAAACAAGAATGAATTCTAATGGACAGTGAATACTGTATTATTACCTGCCTGCAAACTTTGTGGAAATAAATCAGGACAAGTGCTTGATATAACAGGTAAAACATATCTGGACTCCATAGCTATAGTTGTCTTTTTTATATCATAGGCTTTATGCCTACTGCCATCACATAATCAGGTGGAGGTAAGGAACATTTTGGTCCAATTCATTGAGGCCAGTAGCATTAGCTCTGTGGAATAGCTCTGCAGGGAGTCAGCATTCACTGTCCTGAAACAGAATGGGAAAACTGTAATTTGACAGAAATAATCCTATCAAACGGCATAAATAACTACGCTTTCTGTGTTCTTAATCCCTTGCCTACAGAAGTCATTGGAAATGTCAACAAATAAGCGAGCAGAGAATGTTTTATAACGCAAATTATTTGAGCTTCCGAAAGTGTACTACAGGGGCTGAATTATTATGAGAAGTGTCCGGTGAGGCTGTGGTGGCAGAAAATATTATGAATTATATTATTCACAGCCAGGGAACTTTCTCTTTATTTGATTTACTACTAGTAAAGACAGTGTCATCGTAATTTAACTAAAATGAAAAAGGCTTCCATGGAAATTGCCAGGCGTATTTCTCTTTTCTTTTTTACAGTAAGATTAGTAGCTACAGAGGGCATCATTAGCTTTATAGGTGAAATGTTACAATACCATATATAGAGTATATTTATATAGAAAGACTTTACCTGTCAGTGTGAATGAAGGACATGAGCTGCGACATCTAAGGAATTTTGATTTACTTTGGATATTCTTAGGTATGTTCCTTTTCATGGTCCCAAATGCTAAGGATTGGGCATTTATTGACCTGTTTGTTTCTTTGATCTGTTGCTATCCTTTAATGTGCAGGTGATTTTAAAATACTGCCGATTTGTCAGCACGAGGGTTAACAATTGTGTCATGCAATATTTTCTCTTTCACAGGCAGCTGGTGCAGGACCTCGTATCTGCACCCTGCCATGGGAAGTAGATGAGCCTCTCACTTTGCCTCTCACTGCAGTCTTGATCTGCATCAAGCCCTACACTCTTGTTATTTCTATGGGAGGGGGAAAG